AATTTATACAGAAGTTTTTCCTCCTTTTTTCTCTTGATGTGAATTAATTTAACTATGAATACTTAAAATTTCGGAAACTTATAAAAATATAAAATATTCTATATAATTTTACAGGTAAGTCATACTTTAAAGGGTTATTACCACAAAAAATCCCAAATTATGCCCACTATGATATAAATACCCCGAATTTTTTTGTGTCGCTAAAAACCCTAAACTTGTCCATTGCGACACAAAACCAAAACTTTTTTTATGTCATAAATAATCTTAAACTTATATCTGTGCGACAAATATACTTTGGATGGAACTGAAATAGAAGATATATATGTTAACATGTATGAGTGTGGGTTTTTGCGTGACACAAAAAAAGTCGGGACTATTTGTGTCACAGCTGGCAAGTTGAGGGTTTTTTTGTGACAAATGAGTTTGGGGTATTTTTATCATAGTAAACATAGTTTGAAGTTTTTTGTGGTATTTGTCCTACTTTAAAGTTTTAGCCGTTTTTTTGTGTCAAATAATAAAATAACATGTGAGAATTGTGAAATTTGAACAAAAATGTAATGAAAGATCTAACATGAATGGAAAAAGGACAGGAGAAGGACATATTACACTCCTTTACGCACAATCATTAATGTCTTTCGCACCATCATTATCTTATCATGATTGTCAAATGACAATAGTAATATATTGCACTTTGGTTTTTACTGTCATAATGGCCAACTTGACCTGGGGCAAGACTTTCCATTTCCTTTAGGGAATTCCAATTAGCAATGTCTTTTTAAGCACATGGTCGTACCGCAATCCGCGCACGACCAAACCGGCCGTGAGCTCAACTTGTTCATTCACGCACTTAAACAGGGTCAGCTAGAACTTGCAGCCAGCACCAGTTGTTCCATAGCCCTTCAGCTGATCTGCTTGTCTTCATTGATAAGTATGATGTTATGCACTATTTGCATTGGCCCGATTAAACTCCACTTGACTCGAATTCGTAAATGACGAGTTAATTTCCCTAGCTGGTTCGGTAAGTGTAACATTATCATTTTCTTTGACCATTCGACTAATCTGTTCGTCTTCATTAACAAGGTATGATAAAATTTGCGCAAGATTTGCGTTTTCCCCATGAATTCAACTCGAATCAAGGTAAAATAATTATAAACAAATTTTCACGAGGGCTATGAAAGAATTGCCTAGGAGCTGAACTTATATGAGTATTTCGAGAATATTTTTACCAATATCTCGGTGTGCTTTTGAGAAAAGTAATTAGTAACTATGTCGAGCATAATTGAAGAGTGATAATGGAAAAACTCAAACTATCAAATGAAAGAAAACGACATGCGACATAAATATAATATTTAATCAAATTCCTAACAAACTCCACTTGCGAATGATCAAATCACTATTCCATGCATATTCTCCCTATCAATTTGTCATTTGAGTCTTGTTAATGAGTGTTCCTCGGCTATTAGTTCACCGCGTCCATTACAAAAGCATCTTCTCTCAGCAATGCATTGATTACCCATAACACGGGATAGACTGTGCATTAAAAACGACGAACTTTGTTCTAACCCAAAAAATTGGTCGAATCTCTTATGCGGTGGCGACTACTTGCAGGTGCACCACTGATGCGATAATTCGATTTTACAGTTTTGACTGTACAATAATCGATCACAATCCGTCGAACACACAATTTATCCGAACTCCTCCTAATCGAGGGTGAATGTTGTTGAAAGATAAAAATAAACCTTACCGTGGGTTGCCTTGGATCCATGGTGTTTTGGTTAGGTTTACCTCACCAAGACAGCATGTTTCCACTTATTTGGGCTACAACGCCCGGTTTAACAACCCGACAGCCGGTTTACCCAAAGACCCTTTGTTGCTAGGGATATATTTTTCTTGCCTTCCCAGCAGACAGTATCCCATTAACTGCTTTACAAGCCTGAAGATCTAAGGGAGAGACCTTAGGGTTAGAGCTTTTTAAGGAACTGCTCGGGTCCTAAGGGTGAATGATGCACTTAGGGGACCGGCGGACCCGTTATGCGATTGGACGAACCGGCGGGCTTGAAGTCAACGATGTCGGATCGAGCTCAAATTTGGTCGGCTGAAGCGAAACAGCGTGCTGATCAATACACATAGCCTTTGGCTATGAGTAACGATGGATTTTCGCGATTCGGGATCGTTTAGATATTTTTTTTTTAATTATTTTAGTAATTTTCGAATTAAGGGTATTTTGTATTTTTTGCGTTTTTTTTTGTCATTAGGGTTAACACCCTTTATAAACTCGTTTTTAGGGTTTTGAGAGGCAGTAGTTTTTGGATGTTTTGAAAACTTATCGATTGTTAATCGATTGAGAGAACAGTTTGTTCCTCGTTATCGTTTCGATTCTTCTGTTTAGCCTAATTTCTATCGCGCTTCGGCATCAATTGGTATCAGAGCACTGGTTGCTTGAATCAATGGTTGAACAGAATTACGGTCGTGGACGGCGGGCTCGTGGTGGCCGGGGGCGTGGAGGCGTTCCTGAAGCAGACGACCAACCGCGTCTAAGAGATCTGCGAGACGTAGAAATTGAAGAACAGAGAAGACGAATCCAGGATTTGGAGCGACAACTTGCGGAGGCGAGGTTGGGCGTTCAATCCGTAGAAGAAGCAGAATCTGAGGATCCATCCGATAATGAAGAGGAGGACGTAAACCCTTTCGGGATTCTGAACCAGGGGTGGAATCGAGGAGTACGACCTGAAAATCAGCGCTCTTCTCAAAATTTCGGAATGAAGATCGAGATTCCCGAGTTTAATGGTAAGGATAATCTTGATGAGTTTATTGATTGGTTTCATACGGTAGAACGGATTTTTGATCTTAAGGATCTGACTGAAGAGCAGAAAGTTAAATTAGTGGCTATTAGGCTACGAAAACATGTCTCGATATGGTGGGAGCATGTGAAAAGGCAGCGTGCTAGAGAGGGGAAATCAAAAGTAAACCGCTGGGATAAGATGAAAAAGTTATTGCAGAAAATTTTTTTGCCTACCCATTATAGGCAAGAGGCGTTTATCGAGTATCATAACGTCAAGCAAGGTGATAAAACAGTTGAGGAATTTACAGAAGAATTTGATCGCTTGCGGATGCGTTGTGATGTGGCGGAGGAAGACGAGCAGACGATTGCTCGATATCTGGCAGAGCTGCGATATGAGATCTCTGATGTTGTCCAATTACAGCAGTATTGGACATATGAGGATGTGTGCAGACTAGCCCTAAAGGTAGAGGGACAGTTTAAAAGAAAGAGCAGTAATTCTAAGTGGTCAGGCAGCAGTTCCAAGTGGTCAGATAAAGAATCCCAAGGAAAAGCGGGAACATCTGCAGTAAATTCGACACCGGTCACAGTTAAGGATGTGAGTTCTAAACCTGCATCCAACGAGGGGCAGAGTAGTGCTGGAACTAGCAGGGGAGGAACTGTAACTAAGCGGTGTTTCAAGTGTCAGGGATTCGGGCATTTTGCTGCTGATTGTCCGAACTGACAGATTGTGACGCTTGTTGATAATCCAGTTTTTTATGAAGGCCCAGTTTATGATGAATCTGAAGGCGAAGAAGAGGATGCGGATGCGGAACAGGAAGAGATTATCTATGCTGATTCTGATGAGTCCCTAGTCGTTAGGAGAATATTAAATGTTGCTGTAGCGGATGATGAATCATGGCTTAGACATAATATTTTTCATACTAAGTGCACTAGTAGAGGAAAAGTTTGCAGCATGATAATAGATTGTGGGAGTTGCGAGAATGTGGTGTCCACGACTATGGTGGAAAAGTTGGGGTTAAAAATAGAAGATCATCCTCAACCATACAAGCTGTTGTGGCTTAGAAAAGGGAACGGGGTGAAGGTGAGCAAAAGGTGTTTTGTGCAATTTTCGATTGGAAAAAATTACATCGATGAGGTGTGGTGTGATGTAGTCCCAATGGATGCTTGCCATATTTTATTGGGGAGGCCGTGGCAGTTTGACAGAAAGACACAGCATGATGGTTTCAGAAATACTTATACCTTCAAGAAGGATGGCCGAACCATTACCCTAGGTCCTTCAGATTTGAGAAAAGAAGGGAAAAGTAATCTGCTTTCCAAATCAAAATTTCAAGAAGAGGCAGTGAACGCTCCTGAGCTTTTTGCCATTGTGGTGATGGAGCGGAATTCTGACAGTCCCGAATTCCTACCCAAGTTCTGCCCTTGCTTGAGGAGTTTGCTGATGTCGTACCGGAAGAGTTGCCACCTGGGTTGTCGGGTGAGCACAATGTTTCTGGAACTTTTAATGTAGCAGATTTGTCACCTTACTACACTGAAGAGGAAGAAGACCCTGAAGAGATTGATGACAATGAAGACGAAGCAGATTCGAGGACGAATCTTTCTCTAGCAGGGGAGGATGATGCACTTAGGGGGACCGGCGGACCCGTTATGCGATTGGACGAACCGGCGGGCTTGAAGTCAACGATGTCGGATTGAGCTCAAATTTGGTCGGCTGAAGCGAAACGGCGTGCTGATCAATACTCATAGCCTTTGGCTATGATTAAAGATGGATTTTCGCAATTCGGAATCGTTTAAATAGTTTTTTTTAATTATTTTAGTAATTTTCGAATTAAGGGTATTTTGTATTTTTTGCGTTTTTTTTTGTCGTTAGGGTTAACACCCTTTATAAACTCGTTTTTAGGGTTTTGAGAGGCAGTAGTTTTTGGATGTTTTGAAAACTTATCGATTGTTAATCGATTGAGAGAACAGTTTGTTCCTCGTTATCGTTTCGATTCTTCTGTTTAGCCTAATTTCTATCGCGCTTCGGCATCAGTGAATGTCGTTGAAAAATAAAAATAATTAGCGACAAGAGAAAATTACCCAAAAATAAAAAGAAGAAGAGAAAAGAAAGGGTGGAAAAGAAAAGGAAATAAGTTGCTTTGGCTTTTGGATGTGCAGGGTCGGGTCACTCCCAGCTGTGTCTGTCATGCACCCTCCCAAGATCCACAAATAACCCTCGACCCGACCCCATCCCGATCACCATCCATCGCAGGGAACCCACTTCCAAAAACTACAATAAAAAATGCAGATTTTCCTCACATTTCCCCACTCTCATCTCCACCTTCCATCAATGCGAATCCGAAAAGATGCATAAAAAATCGAAAAGAAAACCAAAGACCGCCTCGCTTCTCTTCTCTTCTCATATATCAGGAGTGAAGTTGAGAAGTTGAAGCGTCCACTAGCAGCAGCAGCAGCAGCAGCAGCAACATCGTCTTTTAAGATAGCACCAAACTCCCCGCAGGCTTTTTCTCGTCAATTTATGTCCCTCCCCCTCCTCCTCCTCCTCCTCTTCCCAACTTCGCCATTGCCTCCTCTCCTCCACCACCTCTTCCACTGAACCAAACACCCAACAACTCTCCCTCCCTCCTTCTCTCTCTCTCTCTCTCTCGTCCTGTCATTGATGGAGTTCGACCTCGAGAACCCGTTGACCCTCTGCCCCGAAACCCTCGCCTCCCTCTTCCTCGTCGAGCCCGACCACATGCCCAGGGAGAAGTACGTGAGGGGTCTCATGGACGGAGGTTTCGACGTCGCCGTCCGCCGGGAGATCGTCTCCTCCATCTCCCGCTTGTCCTCCGGCCTGGACCCTCTCTCCTCGTACCTCGCCGTCAATTATCTCGATCGGTTCTTGTCCTGCCAGGGTCTGCCGGTGCGAACGGAGTAGAATTTTTAGAATGCTCGCGCGAGACTCTGTTCTTTTGTTTCTCGTCGTCGAGATCTGACCGAGGCTTTTTCTGTTGCAGCACTTGAGTCCATGGGTTCTGAGACTGCTCGCAGTGTGCTGTGTTTCTCTAGCGGCGAAAATGCGGAACAAAGAATTCTCTCTCGCTGATTTTCAGGTTCGTAACTGGTGCAGAATCAGCAATTCTTGTTCTGCGACGTGAATTTTCTCTCTAAAGCTCTGTTTTTCCCCCCGCAATGCAGGGTGATGGAGGTTTCGTACACGACTCGCGGACCATACAGAGGATGGAAGTGCTCATCTTGGGAGCCCTGAAATGGCGAATGCGATCCGTCACTCCCTTCTCTTTCGTCGCTTTCTTCACGTCCCTCTTCAAGCTCAAGGACCCGCCTTTGAGGCAAGCCCTGAATGCTCGAGCCACAGAGATAATCTTCAAGTCTCAGAACGGTATGTGTTGAAAATCTTTCCATTGGACGTAACACTAAAGGCACGAGACAAAAGCATGTAAACAACTGGGCATCTTCTGTTCCGCAGACATCGAGCTCATGGACTTCAGGTCATCGGTGATTGCAGCGTCAGCTCTCCTCTCTGCCTCTGACGAGCTCTTCCCCTTGCAGTTTTCTTGCTTCAGAACAGCCATTTTAAATTGTTCATATGTAAATAAGGTAAAAAAAAAAGAGAAAAGCACTCGTGGTGCGTCCCATTTGTTTTCTCGAAGCTACGAAGCATTCCCCAATGTTAGATTATTAACTCGTCAATGTCTCACATGTTTGTGCCCGTTCTGTCAGGACGAACTGTTAGATTGCTACAGCGCGATGCAAGACGTGGCGATGGAGGGATACGAATCAGTCTACGATAGTATCTCAAGATCGGACACGCCCATTACCGTGCTCGACCAGAGTTTTTCCAACTCGGAGGACGGCGACGAGAAGGCCACCGGCGGCGGCGGCGGCGGCGGCGCCATCTCGACCTCCACCATCACGAGGACCACGCTCCTCAGATCGGAGCGGCTTCTGAAGAGAAGAAAAGTCTCTTCTGATCACTGCTGCTGCGACTCGTCTCACACCTTCCAGCTTTCTCAGTTCCAGCAGTGCTGATGCCGGGGGGGCATTGATGGGGGGGATGACAAGAACCGATCCAAGGCCCCTTTAAATTCGGCGGGTCTCTGTCGACAGAGCGCGACCCCTCCGAGTGGCTCAGAAACAAAAATGGAGAAGAAGAAGAAGAAGAAGAAGATGCAGAGGAGGCTGCTGTTTTGCACTTGGGCGAAGAAACCTCGCTGTAGGAGGGGAGGAAGAATTCTTGTTCTTGCAATTCCCTTGTCTTATTCAGGGGACCAAGTGGAGACAAATCATGACTTTGGGTTGTAGGGTTGAGCTCGAGGGCCTAGTGTTCTTTGGTTTTGGTCTTTAGAAAAAGCGTGCTGTGTGTGTGTCTCTTTAGTTTCTGGCAGAGGAATGATAATGGCGAATATAATAAACCACATGAGCGGGAACAAGAAATGGGAAAAATGAGAAAAGAAAAAAAGGAGTTTCGTAATTTTTTGGGAAATGGAATGAAACCTCTCTTTGCTTCATCTTTTACCCACTTGAACTTCCATGTGTCTGTGCAATGCGCTGTTCTCTTTGGTCAGAGAGACGCACGGCGGAAGAGAAGGGGCAGCGGGCCTGAACTTACGGTCTTACCCTTCGTTTCTTCTCCTTTTACTATTGTTGGTTGGAGCTCTGTGTCCTTGTCCCAGAGACTTGCATTAAGACATGTTGGGACTGAAAAAGGTTAACTTGGTGTGGTGTTGTTGAGAGAGAGAGAATGGGGCTCTTGATCTTGATGGGAGATTCGAGTCTCGCCCCGACCCGTTTTAGATGGACCCGGTCTGATGGACTTTAAGTCCAAACAAGTTTTTATAAGAGCAAAAGCTATCAAAAATCCTAAATTATATCCACTGTGACACATCTATCATAAACTCTTTTCCCGTGACACCAAAAATCTTAAAGTTGTACTTATTTGACACATTTATCCTCCGTCAAAGAGTTAATGAAAACCGTTATAGGACGGTGTTGACATGACATAAATGAAATACAAACGATGTTGTTTTGACTGAAAAATCATTTAATGAAACCTTTACGAAGGGTAAATGTATTATATAGGTACAAGTTTAAAGTTTTTTATGTCACAAGAAAAAGTTCAGTGGATATAATTTGAGGTTTTTAATATCACAAAAAAAGTTCATGACCATTAAAAAATAGTGTTGACATGGCGTAAGTGAAATATAAACGACTTTGTTTTGACTGAAAAATCATCTAATAGAACCTTTATGATGGGTAAATGTATTACATAGGTATACCTTTGGAGTTTTTTATATCACAAGAAAAAGTTCAGTAGGCATAGTTTGGAATTTTTAATATCACAAAAAAAGTTTAGGATAAATGTGTAGACGTAATTTGAAGTTTTTTTTGTGGTTTTTTTTCCTTTTTATAAAGAGCTAAATCATCAAGTAACTATTTACGGAAAATACTAAAATATAGGATGAGCACGACATTTAGTGCAAAAAAAAGAAAATAGAAAGAAAAGGAAAGTAAATATCTTTACATGAAAACCTTATATAATAGTTGGATTAGACAGGTTGGTGTCCGATCTTGTCTCGTTATCTCTTGCAACGAAACATGTTTTTTGCCCCCCAATTCCAAAGTGAATCGATCGAAAGGGGGTTTGTCTTCCAAAATCATGTGATCGCAGGTTGTGATCCGTCCGATGGTCCCCCCCTCCCCCCCCCAAAGCTGCTGCTGATGAGGTTTCTCCAAGAGATACGTCGGGCCCTCCCCAGAGATCTCCCCTGCCTCCCCTCCCAAACTGGACCACTGATGCACATCATATGTTAGATGTTGTATGGAATTCAATTGGACCATTGAGGATGATAGCACCAATGCATGCAAAAACTCCCTTTGGTGGATATGGGATTTATGGTGTTGGCGAAAAGGGGTAGTACCACATGGAAGTGCTGTGGATGTTGTACGGGTTCAATTGGGATCCCATGATTCGTGACCACTTAGGGTTTCTTCCACTCCATGTAAGAATAATGAAGGGGGTCTTCTCTTAATGATGACGATTCTTTGCCTATCTAACAAAGTCGTCCACGTAATTGGAGAAAATCTTTGCCTACATGATGTCGAGTTGCGAAGAAATTCATTCAAGAAAGGAGAGTACAGTATGATCTTCGTTCGAGTCAATATATATACTGGGGAATCGGTATACATTTGGGCATGTTTGAGGATGGGAATCATGGGTAACACATTCAAGCGAACCTTTTTAGATTGTGCCATACACGATGCCTAACTCGCTCGGTTTTGTTTAAGCTTGCGTGGTAATGAACCGAGGAAAAGGAAGATAGTTGCGTAGTTCCACATAGAAAGGCAGTGTTGAAATAACCAAATTAAGAATTGAAAGCTGGGCCGGAATTCTTTTCCGACACGTTAGTGAAGTTATTGCCCGCCTGACCCGTTGTATGCTTCTCAATGCTTTTTGTGCATTCAAATTCAAGGTTAGAAGCGATGTCACGAAATCCTTGTATCATCCCCCCATTTTCCATGGTTGATGTGTTGCAGCCAGTGCGTGGGGAAAGCGAAAAAACCCCAAAGACTTCGAGGAAATAGGTGAATTGAAGTCCTTGACTTGCACTCATAAATTTACTCATGCATCCATCTCTTATTCTTTCATGTTCACTTTACTAATGAGTTTAAAAGTCATTGTGAGGTTTAACAGCGATTCAAAACTCCTGCGCGGATAACTGAAGTTGAGTAGAACAAATCATTGGCTCATGACTCAATAGATTAATTCTTGGAGTGAGTTTTGACCAAACTATAGGCTCCGGCCATTTGGTAATGTCCCTGATGATGCACATCGAACTTTTTTCTAAGCTCTTCCACAGGTTGGTATTAGAGACGATATATGATCGATATGCCTCCAAAGCATGCCGGTGTTGATGAATTTATTGAGGTAATCTCAATTACTCCGCATTCTTGATGGTCCCGGGTGTCGGATGATGTGCACTCTGGATGAATCAGTGAGTCTCAATGAATCAAATGGGCAAATATCTTGTGCTCTTGTAAGTGGTTCTGAGTGAGAGTTATGGTTAGCAAATGCGTTTTGTGGGAGATGCTGCCAACAACAGGGCTAGAACTAAAGTGGAGATGGTCAGGCACTTGACCTTTACATTAAGGAAGAGTTGGGCTATTATGGAAGACCCCACATGGGCGGGAAAGGGTTCGCAGAGGTGCGCCCGTGAGACGGTTAGGGGAAGTAACCTTTCACATCAGATAACGGATATTGTAGAGAAATTAATGTAGTATCGAGTACGACTCGTAAGTTGAAGTCTCGAAACTTTTTATGTGAAATTGAGCCGAACTATAGGGGCCGACGAGAAAGAACTGAGCTTACAAAAGCTACATATGTCAAGATCATGAGTCAAACCATGGCAATCAGCTCTCCTTACTAATGCTGGCCATCCTCTTCTCAAAGAACTCTCTCTCTCTCTCTCTCTCTCTCTCTCTCTCTCTCCGCGTGTTATTACAGACACATGATGATTCGGGACGACATGAGCAGAAGATGATGGAAGAAGCTAGCTGTCATTGGGCTCCAATGAGAGACTGGTTTGGGTTGGTTTAGGTGGGAGATGAGAGAGAGCCAGAAGCTTCTTGAAATAAATTGAAAGTGCAGAGAAATTAAAGGATGTGGGAACCCAAAAGTGCCAAGGGGATCACATGTAGCCCGACAGAGTCACAATGATAAGCCTCCAAATTTCATAAATGAGAGGTGGGCGCCTTGTCCCTCTTTGGTGGCTTTTACCTTCATCCACCCGACCAACATGTAGCCTCCACCCAAATCACAACATCCCCTCCAACCTATCGTGCCTCCGGATCGCACGGTCTCCCCCCCGATAAAAAAGGACAAACCCCAAAGAAAAAATCGATGGATTCCGGGCATTTCTACTCGATGTATCTTAAGGTTTTTTGACATGAGTACCATGAGGTCCATTTGATTCGAGACTTCGAAAATCACACGCGCCCCATTGCTTGACCGACACAACACAATACCTTCTAGAGATATAGTATTGTTCTTCGTGCTGCTATACTTCTAGGCTATATGTTACTCAATCTTTTTGTTAACCAGGGGTTTGCAGCTAGCAAGCCGGTTAACAAAGCGTTGTGCGAAAGCACAAGCTAGCTCCGCAGTTTGCAAGCAACCACTTTGTTACCCAAAGCATGGGAGGTTACTATACTTGCTTACCCGGCGGTAACCAGTCGAAACTGACGTGGAGTTTACCTTCTCTACCTAGAGCTCCCTAAGTTCCCTCCCTATCTTTTTTTTCTTGGGAGAGAAGAAATATGGGGAAAACTTATGGGGAGATCCTTCCACCATACCGGGGAGTCCCTGAGTTCCTTTGCCTGTCTCTCCTTGAGACTTTTAAGGTCCTGCTAAGGACCAATCTTATGAAGGTGTACCTCCAATGACAATATTTATCGATGCGTGGGAGCTGCCTCTACCCCCATTTGGGTTTTACGGTTTCTAGGTGTCTGAGGGGGAGCAACCTAGCTGACCTCCAGACTCAACTGAAGAACCCTTAGGGTTCTTATCTTCATTGTCTGAAGGACTTGCTTAGGTCTGCAAATAGTATTATTCTTCGTGTTGCTATTTTTCTAGTCTATATGTTGCTCAATCTTTGGTTTGAGGTGTTGTGCCTTCAGGTCGTACATTAACTGGTTACAAATTTTGGGTATGGCTCACGTACAAATTAACTAAAATTAAATGGGAATGGTGTCTGTATTTGTAACCCACCATTTAGAAGATTGATCGGAGAACCTCTCTCCAATCAAGGATAGAGGAAAATACGGCCCTTACTTTTCCTCCTTTGTTAAAATTGTTGCGCTGTAAGTGACGCAGAAAGCTTCGTCATGTTCATGTGATTGACTTATCGAATGACGACGGATCCAAAATCAAATAGGGGTTTCGTCCTAGAATCTATCTCAGAGATGTCTCACTCAGTTTTGAAAGCCGGCTAGGAATGATTTTTCATTCTTGTTGGACCACAGAGCTGTACGACGTTGCTGTGATGGAACATGTCATGTTCTTCACCACGAAACAAAACCGCCGAACCAGTCCCTCGACACCACTTGCATCCCACTTGCTCAATCCGAGCTTCGTTTCTTTCACTAGCTAATCCATTTTGGTGTAGCTAACTTCGTCTGTAAAATGTATTACTAGCGACGAGGATTGAGTTGATAAACATGAAAGAAGACATAGAAGAAGATACATTATGATCCGATCCTGAATATTTATTTCAGATGCGTGTAGGTCAGTCATCAAAATCCAGTAAGAATAATACCCCGATGCTGTTCCGGCGTCTTTGTCAAAAGTCTTAGCGAAACACGATGGAAGAACGAAGTAATGAAAACCTAGTCAAACTAGCATCGTCCTTCTAGAAAGAGTACACGAAAGTATGCACAAGTCCGCCTTCACGTCCACGTTAATGAATGATACACTTTGGATTATGATGGCATTTCGATTCTCCGCTATGGCTTCGTTCGTTTTGCGAAAAATGAACGATTTAGAAAATATTTTCCTAAAAATAATCTCTTATATCGCTTGAAATAATTAGATAATGAAAAATATCTTTATTATTAACAATAATCTATATCTAAACATTTTTTTGGATGATGAAAATATTTTTCGTTCATTCATTTTTGTAAGTGATACGAGTTATCATTTTTAGAAAAATATTTTTAAAATTATTTATTTTCCGCGAAACAAACGGAACTTATTTTGGAATATTACTAGCTACTAGCTAGTCTCCGTTGACCTAATACATTATCTATGGCAATACATCAGATTAGGCACTCGAGCTATCCACTTCCAGAACCCGTCGTTTTCCAGTCTTCTAGCGTAAATTAGCTGGTTTTTTCGCCACACTCTTTCCTAGTAATGAGATAACTAATTATCGAATACAAATACACAAAATGATCATGGTTAAGTCCGCAATAAACATAGTAGTAAATTTCAATCGAACCAATTCTTACATCTGGTTTGGAAGCTGAAGGAAAATATTTCGGGGACTCGTCTTATGCCGACCAACATGATCATAGCAATTGAATGTGTGGTCTACATGCTGCTCTAAATAGATTAAGCCTATCTTGAAAAACTTTTCGAGGCTGAAGCCATGGGTCAAAGATGTTAATAAAATTTGAGCATCTTGAAGTATTTGAAGTTCAGTTGTGTATGGCTCGGGAAGAGTGGATGGCTTTGTATCTACATGGGATTTGTGTGAATTAGATGTATTACTTCAAGATATTGCCAGTATGCAATCTGGGAGGAACTGTATATATGATCATTCTCAATAGAATATCAATGAAAGACTCCCCGTTGTTTCCAAGAGATTTCAAGATCAACCCTTTGAAAATTCTTTACTTTGATTTGATTTCTGTTTACTAGTTCTATGAATTCTCATTCTCTAGGAATACCATAGTCAGTTTGCTTTCCAGACTCCCTGATCTATATCTAAAATATGTGAACTTTGAACGTCTATTGCTATATCATGCTTGAGCATGAAAACCATTCCCATGTGATCTTAGTTTTTTTATCTGAATTATTCTGGCTAAGGTTCTCGCTTTCATGTCACCTCAACAAGTTCGAATGAAGAGACGATTCCCCAATGCAACTTATTATTGCTACCTTCACAACCTGCGATACCTATAAACTGCGATTTTTTCTGATAGAAGATGATTTATTTAGTATGCAGAGTGAGTTATTAACTGCTTCTAGCTAAGACACAATCATCCAAACGGGCATATATTGATTATCGTTCACATTTCCAGATGATTATTCAAGCCAATATAGATATATATACATATCGTAGAAGGGCTATTAATCGATAGAACTAACAAACCTACGGGGAGTAGATTAGCTGTTCTCTATAGGATACAAGGTGACTCATCAGACTAAACAGACCAATTTTCTAAATTTAGTATAAAAAAACCGGGGAAAATAACCATTCATCCTGTAAAAGCCAGGATTCGATATTGTTGTCGGTGATAAATGGTTCAGTCCAGAACCTCCCGCTAGACTCTGCAATATATGTGTCGTGAGACACTTCGCACTCCGTGTTTGAGAAGTCCGCGATTTCCGTGCACGTGGATAGTGATGTCTCGCTGGAGCTTGAAGACAAATGGAGGGACGCAAACCCTTCTTTGATCTGATGAGTCATAGGGCAATTTATAGGAAGGTCGAGGATATTGTTTGGAGTCGTCTCGGATATATTCTTTGGTCCAACTTCATGATCACATGAATGATTGATGGTCGCTTCTTGTGGAGATGCTGATGATGTATTTTGGCTTGAGCGCTTCTTTAAGTTGGTGTGCCAGTGATTCTTGACTTCATTGTCCGTTCTTCCTGGTAACTTAGATGCAATAGCTGACCATCTGTAAAATATTTCATGTACAAATATAACATTAGATATTCTCCTTCCCGGTTGAAATGTGTCATTGTTTTCTTAGGAAATGTAATTGCATTTTCTTCAACCGAGATCATTTCGCGAATGCTAGTCAATCAAAAAATTTGCGAAGACCGGAGTAGGAAATTTATGTGGTCAGGTATCATTCTCTCTTTTTCGTGATCATGACTCATGTGTATTTGAAATGTGAGACAACAAATGATACATGATCTCATATGCTTTGGTATACTAATTGCGCTTTAGGAACATTTTGTATGATCGAAGCACTCCACAATTAACTCAGAAGAAGAAGAAGAATCCTAACTCCACGTTCTTCAGCTTGTTGAAGAACTTATGCCTCTTCCAATAAGTATTGCATCACACTTTTTAGGTTTCATCTAGTCATTACTGGGTTCCAAAAATGAGAAACTCAGGAAATTCTAAGAAGGATAATACTCAGTTGGGTTTTTCCTGCTGTTTTTGTTCCACCATCCATAAATATTTTGTTATCATCGTATGTTCTCACATCACGGTCCTTCTCGCATGCATCAAGAAAACAAGGAACTCCGGATAGATCATGAAGAAGCTGTTTGTTTTATTAATCGAGCCTTTCTCCCTACAGGAACTTCACACACTCGCAGCGAAGTATATGACATTAATCTTCTTTTTTTCAAGTATATATTACATTATTCATGTGACGTATTCTATGTTTCAAGTTGAGTTTTGTTTTAAAGTGGCTAGAATTCTAGAAGATATAACTCACTTGTTCCCAAGCAATGCTTGTAGTCTAACGATGGTATCTTCTTCTTCCTTGGTATAGTTCCCTCTCTTGATATCTGGCCTTAGGTAATTCATCCATCTGAGTCTGCAACTTTTTCCACATCTTGATAACCCTGCAAATTTGAAGGGGAAAGAAAGAAATCTAAACTATAAGCTGCTAAAACATGCATATGTGATTAAGAGTAAGAACTCAACTTATTTATAACTTCATCCTCTTTTTGTAGAGCTTCTCTTTGCCACGGCTATTGTATCAATCGTGAGAATAGAGAGAAAGGAGATCTGTGGATACTTTTGCCTTCTTTTCGCTATAATAAATCTGCGAGCATATATGCTTGAATCCAATATAGAAATCATACTTCTTCTCCCCTACTTTTAAGGAGGGGAAAAAGAAATTATTCAAGAGATTTTGCGTTAACCTTAAAACCTAAAGAAGCACTTGAAGATTAGAAATTAGCACTTTTCTCCCTTGAACCTTAAAAGTTATAGAAGACTATCAATTTTAGCGAGGATAGTAATTTCTCCATCGGAAATTCTACAGCTTGGCAAGTAGAAAGAGCTTATTTCAAAGTTTCCAGGTTCTTGTGTTTTTTTCTTTTCTTCGAGAAAGAGGAGCTGGAAAACCTTCAACTGGTTTTGAGAAGAAGATTCGTAAGATCACAAATTTCATTGTTGTGCACATGTTACTTAAACCGACACTTGATGATTTGAAAACTGATCGAACGATCATAGATAAGTCTAACCTGCATACTTGGGGAGCTTGCGCCAATTCCAGAAGCCATATTGGCTCACATAATCCTTCAGCTTCTTGTCTTCCTCAGGAGTCCATGTTCCCTTCTTCATCCCATTCTTGTCTCGCCCTGGTGTCCTCGCCATCTCTCTCTCTCTCTCTCTCTCTCTCTCTCTCTCTCTCTCTCTCAGTGTGTGCGTGTGTTTACTATGAAGAACAATCTTTCTACCTTTTTAAGCATCGAATGGGTTGAAAGTCTGGCGGTATTTATGTAAATCTCTCTGTAACTCCGAAAAGACGTAAAACGTGTAAAACGTGTTCCACACATTGGTACAGCATCGGTCTTGTCTTTTCACGGCAAGAGTAATTACAATTACTTTATGTTGTCTTTATTTTTAAATTTAATCATCGTGGAGCTGCTTCTTCTTTATGGGGTGGGCCCAATTTTTTGGAGCAAACACTCGGCGTAAAAGGCAAGGGAAATATTAAAGTATTTGCCTTGTCGACCCCAGATGAAGATTCAGCACCAGCAGCGAGAGAGCATCAGACGATTATCTTTATGCCTTCAAGTTAGGCCATGCATGGGATTCACGATGGTATAAGCATCTGCTTGTCAACTTGCGCGTTTGTAATATTCTATAAATCCTGTCATGTTGCCAAGTACGCAAGCTAGGTGCCGTATGTGTAAGGCGTAGAGTATATTCTGAAACGTGATGTTAGACGCGTATTCAATTATAAGCTCACTTGCATATACGTAAGTTCAAATTTTGAAGACAATGATAGGGCAGAAAATACACAGTGGAATTTTATATGGTGCTTGATCAATTCGTGCGCCTTCTCGCGAATTCTTGAAAGCAAGATAGCATTTCAAAGCCCGTCGACTAAACAAGAAAAAGATACATGAACACAAGAAGCTATACAGCGTGGTTTAATAGTTATTAACGTATTAGATCTTATGCAAATGTACAAGTATAGAATGAGTCCATATGATATTTCGTTTTCACATTTACGGAGAATTCGGGGGCTCACTAGCTATCTTCTAAATTTGTCTTCCAATGCAAGTTGATTGACTTGAGATAGGACTCCTCTTATGTGCCCTTTCTCTAAGGGACGAAAGTCTACGAGAATATTCCTTTCTTCGTGTTATGCCATCGTTCCGGTAAAATAATAACTACATATTAAAAGCTTCGGCGAATAGGATTTGAGTATTTTTAGTTGTCCCTATGGATGCTCGTCACGAGTCAATGGGCCCATGAGATTATCGCTTGCATCTCATTAGCCAGTTGATTATATTTGTCGCGCCCTCTTTCACCTAAATTTAAAAACGATTATCACTAAACTTCTTTTTAATGAACAAGGACCAACTTGCGACATGGTGGTCGGTCCATGTATCCCTGGAGCCTATGTGCAAAGAAGGGGAAAATATTAACAAATCCTCTCTCCATTGTCTACAACAGCTAATGTTGCCTATAAACAAGTACTGAGTGCTTTCAATTACAACTTCAAGAAATATAAATTATCGGGTGATTCTTCTAACGATTGGACCAGACTTGGATCTTCAGCTTCGTTCAGTAACCGCGGCGATAAAACCTGCGTGGAAAAGAGGGCATCGCTCGAAAAATAGTCGAAGCCATCGGCATATCGCAGGTGACAAACTAAGGAAATTATTGACGCGACTCGACTCGTAATTTCGACGGAAAACCAATGGGGTCATCCATATCGCTTGACTTCGTCCAGGTCGGGCACGTGCATCGCCAGCCAAAGACGTATACTTCTCCAGGAACCCATCAGCGTTATTGCAAGAGACAAGAACTTCAAGATCAAGATGCTCGAGAGAGAGAGAGAGAGAGAGAGAGAGAGAGAGAGAGAGAGGGAGAGAGGGGCCAGAGGTTCGAAGGTTCATGCATTCACATTCGCGGAAGTCTTGGGTCTCATCCTTTTGCAAGTGCACAGGGCAGACGAAAGGGATGATGGAGGCATTACGAACGATTGCGGAACCATTGGATCCCGCTTATGACACGTCGGGTCCATCCATGTGTACAAGGTTTGATTCCTTCCGCTTTCTAGGTAGACCAGGTTGTCTGGTATTAATTTAGGCTACGTTTATTTTACGGAAAATGAATAATTTGAAAAATATCTCTCTAAGACTTGATCGTTTGTAATGCTTGCAAAAATGGGGAAAATTGCCCCAAAAGTCCTCAACCTATTGCATTTTTGCCGATTCAGTCCTAAAACTTTTCACGTTTTGCCAATTGAGTTCATCCGGTCAATTTTGATCGGAAATTTCTAACTCGGACGCCGGCTGTCCTACGTGGCACGGCTGATGCTGACGTGTACATTTTTAATTAATATTTTAATAACTTTTTTGAATTTTTTATGATTTTTTCCCTTTTCTTAACTGTTTTTTTCCGGGGCTTCGGACGATGGTTGCAATGCCCTTGCCGGCCACTAGGCGAGGGTCTCACAGCCCTCGCTGTGGCCAGGCAAGTGCTTGGCGGCCCTTGCTGGCCCCAGGTGAGGGCTTGCACACCCTCGCTTTGGCTAGTGATCCCCGTCGACCCTCGCCTGTGGCTGGCAAGGCCATCCCTCCAAACAAAAAAAAAAGTAAAGAAAAGGGAAAAAAAGAAAAAAATCGATAAAATTCAAAAAATTATTAAAATAATATTAAAAATGTCCACGTCAGTGCCGTTCGTGCCACGTAGGATGGCTGGCTTCTTCGTTAGCAATTTTTTGCCAATTTTGGCTGGATGAACTCAATTGGAAAATTATCAAAAGGTTTAAGACTGAATTGACATAAGGACCTTTTGGACAATTTTCCCAGAACGAATGAACGAAAGATCTTTTCTTTGTCCACAAAAATGTTTAGACGTAAATTATTGTCGATAGTGAAAATATTTTATATTGACTAATAATTTCAAGAGATATAAGCAATTATTTTTAGTAAAATATTTTTGAAGTCATTTATTTTTTGCGAAACAAATGGAGTCTGTTGAACTTTACTTTCACACGAGCGATCATTTTTAGATTATTTAGTGGGATCTTTTTTCCCTTGTTTTGAAATTCCATTCATGTGTCCGTGTGGAAATAGTCAAAAATCGGTTTTGGATGATTAAAAAGTGATTTCCCAGGGCAAAAGACGCACCGTTCGCCTTTACTTTGAATTCGGAGTCAGTCCTCCTGAATCAATTCTATATAACAATCTTAATCTTTATAGTACTAATGTTACTTGAGAATGAGATGAGAACGCCTTGGTCAACCAAATCTCAAGAGTAGTTATCTGGTAAGTACTTGCACATAAGTTATTGTCAACAACTGCCTTTATGTTAATCTTGAGCTTTCTGGAGCACTTATTATATAAAAAAAACCGTTCGCGTAAAATAAGGAAAATAATTATGCTATAACCACCTTTTTCATTCTTGAAAAGATCATTTATTGTATCTTACAAAATCTTTATTCGCAATGGAACAAGTTCATCAACCACCAAGATGACTATCGGGTCATTTATCTTTCGCAAGGTCACGAGTGTGATTCTCGTTGTGAGTGAATCCCTGCATATACTTTGTATGGAGAGACCCTACCGTTAGCATTTTGGAGGGGTTATGTTCATGGGCTTGCTAACCTTGGACCTTTAGGGGGAATAGAAACCCTTGGACCTTTGGGTGTCAGTGATGCAGAGTACTTATGACTTAAACCGAACTTTCCGTAATAAGCTTGTGGACGTGAGCAAACCCTAAACGACTCAAACTGCTTTACCTAGTTGAATCATATATTATGTATCGAGACTTCCTAGCTACTAGCATCTTGGTGGGGTTACGGTGATGGGCTCACCAATCTTGGACATTCGGGTCTAGATGGTGTTGAAGAGCTATGATTCGAACTGAATATTTTATAATAGGTGTGCGACCCTTTACGGTAAACAACCAATGAAGATCATTAGCACCGGTCGTCCCGCCCATCCTTTAACCTAGTCTTGCAAGATGTGACTAATTTTGTTCTTTTAAGACTAGCGTTGCCTTTTAAGATTTCAATGAAATTGATCCATTGAACATTGCCAGAAAAGATAATCACGGGTTCTAATCAACATCAAGATCATATGACGAATCCTCCATATAAGAGGGTTGAACTTGCTGCTAAGTGCTCCCCGACATTCAAATCCATCGCCACTGGGTTCAATTTAGCCTTGAAAGCAACCTCTCGAGGAACCAGAAGGCAAGAGATGGACGGTGCCTTCGCAAAACCAATCAGCTTTGCTCGTCCATAACAAAATTCCAGTCGGAGCCAACGAGATGGCTCCAAAAGATGCTTGTCAGGCAAGCATACTAACCCCCCCGTTAATGTCCTAGAGAAATAAATAACATGGCTGGTCCCTCTTCCGAGGCGAAAGCAGGTCAACTCAATGTCAAGCTCACAATGCAATGAGAAAACGAACGTTTGAAAGCATTGACTAATCAAACATGGGGCTCGCATCAAATCTTAATGACTCTCCAACGCATCTAGCGTTTGTATTATTTAATACATTGCATTCAACTAGAAGGAAGACGCGTAGCTTTCGTTGCGGGAAATTTATAAAAAAAGTTCTAAATCTATTGCACTCATGTCAATTCAATCATAAACATTTTTATATTATGCTAATTGAGTTCATTCGGCCAATTTCAATAAAAAAATGCTGACATGGCGATCTAGTCAACGCTAATCATCTTAGATGATGTCAATTCTAATTTTTTTTTGAATTTTTTTCCCTTTTTTGTTTTTTTTCTTTCCTTTTTGTTGGTGGCAATCTCAAGCAATGGTCAGCCATTGGCGATGGCCGGAGAGGGCTCGGCGAGGTTGCCCTCGCCAGATTGAGCGAGGGATCAGGCGAGGGTCGCCCTCGCCCTACCCCGTCGAGGTCACCCTTGACGGCCACTGGCGAGGGTCGGCCTCGCTTGGGCGAGGGTCACCTCATCCGTGGATGGGAAGGGTGGCCTCGGCTAGAGTCGGCGAGGGCTGGGATGCCCTCCCCTAGTGTTGGGCGAGGGGCGGTTGGCGATCCTCGCCAACACTTGGTAAAGAAAAAAGGTAAAGAAAAGAAGAGAAAAGATAAAAGGAAAAACAAACCAAAGAATTTATTAAAAAAATGTCAACGTTAGCATCAACCTTATCATATGGGATAGTCGATGTCAACATCAGTA